TACATATATATATATATACACACATACATACACACATAGATACAGGTACAGATATAGATACAGATACAGATATAGATACAGATACAGATATAGATATAGATATAGATATAGATATAGATATAGATATAGATATAGATATAGATATAGATATAGATATAGATATAGATATAGATATAGATATAGATATAGATATAGATATAGATATAGATATTGGAGCCAAGACTCAAGCCCATAGCTCAGTTCACTATCATGTATTATATTATGTAGAACCATGGGAACAAAGACTTTGGGATGTAACAGACCTTAAAGCCTCCAACCACTTAATTTTATACATGAGGAAACTTAGCCTGAGAAAGATTAAAAGATTTGCCTGAGTCACACAGTTGGTTAATATCTGAGGCAGGATTTGAACTCAGATTTTCCTAACTCAAAGTTCAGTACTCTATCCACTTTACCACTTCAGTACATGAAGGCTTTAGTACACTAAATAGGGCTCTAAAGAGAATCCATTAGAACAGATAACCATGTCAGCCTGTATCTTACTAATACAGAAAAGTTAGTTGTGCATTGAAAAAGTGCTAAAATTTACTATCCATATAACCTTGGGGAAGTCATATTATCCCTTGTATCCACAGCTTCTACATCTGTAAATTAAGGAGACTGTAGTAGATGGCTTCTTAGGTTCTTTAGATTTCTAAATCCATAATCCTAGTATATAGGAAAGAACAAGAGAGCCAGATGTTTTAAATCAATTTGGAGTTCAGAACATTGTTCACTTTGATAATCTGTGCAGGATGCTAACCACATTGATATTCTGTACTGGAGATGCTAACCACATTGCTCCAAGAAGGGATTTGGGGTATGACTGATCCACATGCACACAACTTGCCATTACATAATTCTCAAGGTCTCAAGGTTATTAAGCAGGGGCCATAGGGGATAAGGCTAGCTAAATCCAACAGAGGAGAGAGAGAGAGAGAGAGAGAGAGAGAGAGAGAGAGAGAGAGAGAGGAGAGAGAGAGAGAGAGAGAGAGAGAGAGAGAGAGAGAGAGAGAGAGGGAGAGAGAGAGAGGGAAGGAGAGGGAGAGAGAGAGAGAGAGAGAGAGAGAGAGAGAGAGAGAGAGAGGGGAGAGAGAGAGAGAGAGAGAGAGTTCATGGGGAGCTACAAGCCTCTAAACTCATGGAAATCTTTGTCTCCATATTACCATGAAGTAATTTAGTGCATACTTCAAGAAATATCCTATATCATCAATGTGTGTGGGTATTCCCTTCAACATTGCACATGTCACTCATCCACCAATTTTAATTCTGCATGAGTTTTTTCCATGGTCTCTCATACATCATGCACAGAAGATTTATCCAGTGTTCTGGAAGCCTTCTCCAGGTTGTGTTTGATTTTGGTTTTCTATCTTCCATGGGTATCAGTGCACCACTTGGGCTATATGGTACTCCACCCTTTCAAAAGGTTCTATGGCTCCCTATTGATTCTTGGATTAAACAAAATTTTCTCTATTTGGCATTTAAGGCCTTCACATTTGGTCTCCAACTTACCTTCCCAATTGATTTCTGTTATTCACATTATGATACATATTTACTGTTCCCTGTACACCCATGTGTCTTACCCCCTCAGTTGTTAGCTTCCCTTCTCTCCTTCTCCTTCCAGAATTACTTTCTATTTATCGTGCATACATTTCATGTTTACTTACTTGTATGCTTGTAGTTTCCTCCAGTAGAATGTAAGCTCTTCACAAACATTGTTTTCATTTTTGTCCTTGTATACCTAACAACTAACACAGCATCCAGCATGTAGCACTTAAATGTTTTCCTTTGTGATCCTCTACTTTCAAAAATAAGCTTTTATTGATATATTTGTTCCTTACATCATTATAGTTATCCCAAATACATCTCCTCCTCCTCCTCCCCCTCTCAAAGAGCCACTCCATATAACAAATAGTAGTTTTAGAGAGGGAAAAAAATTCAGTATAACTTATCAATTCATTGATAAAGTTTGAAAACATGTACAATTAGTAATATCTCTAGTTGTCTCACCTCCATGAAGGGGTGAATTAGGGAAGTGGGGTTCCTCTCATATCTCTTCAAATGAATCCTATTTGATCTTCATAATTTTGTTATGTTCACTTTTGGTTTTTTATTTGTCTTTTTTTAAATTCACATTGTTGTAATTACTGTATATATTATTTTCTTGGCTCTGCTTTACTTTATTTTGCATCAGCTCACACAATAGATCCTTCCATGCTTCTCTGTATTCATCTCACACATCACTTCTGTGGTACAGTAATATCCCACTATATTCAGCAACACAATTTGTTTAGCCATTCCCTAATTGATCAGTATCAGCTTTGTCTCTAATCCTTAGTGATCTCTCATTCTTGCTACAAAAGTAGCCCACCTCTCCTTCAGAGCTCACATTTCCATTATGGTGTTCTTTTTGCTGCTTCCTGCATGCAAATTATTGTTGCTGCAGCCTGCGTATACTTACCACATGTCTCTCCATGGCTTTTTAGTTCCCCCTCGATTTTGATCCTTCAAAGATTCTCTTCCTCCATGACTCATAGTCATACAGAATCACTAGGAGAATACTGTTGTTGTTTTAATGTTTGCTTGTTTGTTTTTTTCAAGGAACAGTTCAGGATCTGGAAGCTCTACACAATTCTCTGAATGTAATCCTGCCTGTCCTCTTCTTATTCTAGGGAAGAAAAATCATTTGTCCATTTGCAGTATCTATTCAGGATGTAAGTGTATTAATTGTCTGACTCAATAGACCATCAATCTAATTTTATGTTAATATCTGGGAAAAAAGTAGTTTCAACCCATTTGGTGTTTTCTAGGGGATAGATTGCAATTCGCATCATTAGAAACATGGAACATACTCATATGGATGAGATCACATACATTTACATATCACAGAATATTCCATTATATTATAAAAACTCAATTTGTTTAGCCACTCCTCAGCACTTGGTCATGCCAGTTGTTTCTAGTTTGGGGCTGGGTTTTTTGTTGATTGGTTGGCTGATTTTTGCTTTTACAAATAAAAGATTTTGTACAGATAGCCCTTCTCAATTTAATAATATCTTTGGGATGCTATTAAATTTTATCTTCTATTATATATATATGTATATGTATGTACACACACACACACACACACACACACACACACATATATATATATATATATATATATATATATATATGTATTCATTGTATTTTGGGGGGGTGAGGCAATTGGGGTTAAGTGACTTGCCCAGAGTCACACAGCTAGTGAGTGTTATATATCTGAGGCTGGATCTGAACTCAGGTCCTCCTGACTCCAGAGCTGGTGCTCTATCCACTGTACCACCTAGCTGCCCTGCTGGTATATATGTATTCATGGAAATGCTATTTCTTTGATAGAATATAAGTTCCTTAAGGACTGAGACAACTTTGTTTTTGTCTTTATATCCTCAGATGCCTAGAACAGTGCCTGATACATCCTGTGTCACAGTAGGCATTTAATAAAAGCTGCTTTGGGGGAAGCAAGGTGGCGCAGTGAAGAGAGCTCCAGCCATGGAGTCAGGAGGGCTTTAGTTCAAATCCAGCTTCAGACACTTGACACTTACTAGCTGTGTGACCCTGGGCAAGTCACTTAACCCTGATTGCCTTACCAAAAAGAAAAACAAACAAACAAAATAAATGCTGCTTTGTAGATTTGTTGATTCCTGAGTATATTCATTATTAGGCCAATACATCAAATGTGTGTAGAGCTCACTGAGCAGGCTCAGACTGGGGCATGATGGAATCAGTGCAATGTCACAAGCATCCAAAAACACCAGGAAGATTGTAAGTGATCCTTCCCCTTGAATTCTAACTGCCACATCATCCACACCAGCAGTAAATGCCTTTAGTACCATCTTTGGTAAACCTGCCTCCCTATTTTATACCTTATTTGATATTAGTAATTGAAAGGGACATTAAATGAAGTGATCTTTGTTGCTGCATCTTCCAAGGAACTTTTATGCTCTTACATGTACATGAGAGCAATGTTCTTGGAGGAGCACTTTTAAAATAGTATTTTGCTCTTGTGTTTAGGAAAGCACATTAGAATCAACACTATTTTTATAATCAACTAGGCAATAAGCACAAGAGAAGTTTATGTCTTCTGTACCCTTCAGGTGATTTTTAAGGCTCCTTTTCATTCATATTTATATTGTTTAAAGTTTCTCTTAGTTTTGTCATCACTTCTTTCAAAAGGGACTAACAATATCTCAGTGAATAAATATTAAATGCACTTCCACTTCCTTCTTCTTGCTGGTAGTATCGTCAGCCTGGTAGGGCCATAGTCTCTCATTAGGGACTTCTTTACCAGGGCCACCTTTTTAGAATGAACCCTGGCATGATTCACTTCAACTGTCACCTTGACTCTCTATGGATTCTACTTGCTCCAAGTCTATCACATTACTCCCATCTGGTACCCTTCCTCATCCACTCTCACTTTCTGGTTCACTTTATGTGTTGTTTCTCCCCATTAGGGTACGAGCTGCTCAAGGGCAGGACTGTCTTACTTACTTATATTTGTGTCTTCAGCACTCCACACAGTGTCTGGAACATTTTAAGTGCTTAATAAATCTCTCTCTCTCTCTCTCTCTCTCTCTCTCTCTCTCTCTCTCTCTCTCCCTATTTTTTATTGATATATCTGAAATGATCTAATCTTGACTCTTCAAAAGATAATCTTTTGAAATTAATAACAATGGCAACACATATATAAAATCTCATATGAAAAGTATGTATTGATAACATAGGTAGTTTATAGGACTATGTGGTTTGTCCTTTGTTCTTGAAGAGGACCGTGACATGAAAAAGACGATGACGTGATTAGCAATTGACTTTGATTTGAGTGATAGAGGGTTGTACAAAGTCACCAGCCTCACTTTCTCCTCCACAGCCATCTGAGTCTGGTGGCCAGATATCAATCAAGATGACTGGAGATGGTTCAGGATTCAGTGGGAGACCTTAGCTCTTTTAAGCTAAGGTTTTTTCAAGTTCTCACTTGCAGAATTTTAGTCCATGGGAAATTATCTACTATTCCAATTCTTCCTTTGACTGTCCCCATCCAAGGTTTAGAGTGAATGTCAGAATAAGCCCAGCTTTTCTTTTCTTCTTTATCACAAAATCTAAGAGAGAGACAGTCACCTTCCCATGGTTGCTATAATTTCCATTCAAGGAGCTAGTCCTTCTTTGTTAGTAAGGGATTTTCCCTTATTGATTCTCCTACCTTTTGAAGGATGAAATTATCATGAAGTCATGTCAAGAAATTATCAGCTTCAGTATTCCTCGTATCTCACATACTTTCCCTAGTTACACTTTGGTGCTTTGAATGGAGGAGGGGGGAGGGCCGACAAAGTTTTAGACTGGGTGTCCCTATCTTGCCCAGACTGAGAGGGTGGTAGCCACTCCCAGCTCTTACCCTACTGCTGATCAACATGGAAGCTTTGACCTGCTCTGTGTCTGACAAGGGCCAATTTCCCCCTCTTTGTGGTCCCTTGCTCCTGAGAGTTGACCATAGTGGTGCTAGATTTAGTGTGAATATCTGATTAGCTTTAGCTTGACCACAGCTTAGAATTCCCATACTCAAGTAATCCACCAGCTTCTCTCTCCTCCCAGTAGCAGGGATTACAGGCATGTGTCACCATGCTCTTGGTCACACTTTTGAAAAATCAGTTCCAGGCCCATTGTGAGGGTCAGTATGTTGCCCTAGTTTGGAAGTATCTACTGAAGACAACATCTACTCCTTAAAGATTACAAATCTATCTTTTCCTGGCCCATGGTATTGCCAGGGTGAAGGCACAGATCTTTCTCCCTTCTTTATGGATGCTGTGGGAAGTAATTCTTTAGTAATTTTTAACAATCCACTAGGTTACTCATGGAGAACTGAAGGGTACTGAGACACAATTGGGAAGAGAGTGGGTTGCTCCTCTTTATTCAGACCTACAGGGGAGAGTGGCCAGATGAGAGTCGCACCACTATAACAATGGGGGAGAGAAGATGCAAACTATGCAAGTCCCGGTGAGGTGACATAGAATTGCAGAGATACTCCTCTTTTTAAGGTACGAGAGAAGATGATTGCAAGCTCCTAAAGGGTCCTCTTCCATGGGAAGCCTGGGGCTGTGGAAATTACCATTAAAAAAAAAGGCCTTGAGAAAATGGAGACATTCCAAAAATGGAAGTTCTCTCAGGGTGAGTTCTAAGGTATAAAACCCTCAGCTGAGACACAGACTCCTCAGTGTACTCCATTTTATGGAATATGTCAAAAAGCCAGTCCCCTGAGGAAAGGAATGTGTACCATCTACAGGAGTATAAGAGAATTACATGTAGAGAAACAGAAAAGTTGTAACGCAAAGGAAGGATGGGGAAGTTGTTATTCAGTCATGTCCTATTCTTTGTGACCTCCAGATGGGATTTTCTTGGGCAAAGACTCTGAAGTGGTTTGCCATTTCCTTCTCTAGTGAATTAAGGTAAACAGAAGGTAAATGACTTGCCCGTGAATGTTTGAGGGCAGATTTGAATTCAAGGCTCCTAGATGCTTCATGAGGAAGCAGATTGAGGTAAATGTCTGCCACGTGCTAGGAGCTGAGGAGAAATCCCAAATGTACACCTGTTGTGCAACACAGGAAAATGACAGGAATCATGGAGAAGTAGAATTCTTGATGCCTGGGCTAAAGTTTTTCCTTTGAAGAACCAGAAGTAACAAAGACTAAGGGAGCAGGATGATTGGCTAGCATCAAATAACAACAACAGCTACAAACATTGAAGTGGAAACTTACTTACTTTGGCCACATAAGAGAAGACGTGACTCATTGGAAAAGACCCTAATGTTGGGAAACATTAAAGGCAAAAGGAAAAGGGGATTGCAGAGGATGAGATGGATATATTTAGCTCTCTCCCATCTGTTTACCATAACTTATAAATAACCTATTCATGTTTTGAATAAATCAGGAAGCTTGTAATTATGTGATCGTATAGAGGGAGAAGCGTCAGGTAGTGCAGTTCTTACGTCACTTAGGTAAGAGCAATGGCCCAGAGAAGTTATAAAGTAGGGAGTCTCTGTACTAAATTACTTATTTTTCTGGGAAATTATTCTGTCTTAAATATATGTCCATACCAAAATAATATTTCTGGAATAAGTTTTTCACCTTTCCCATAATATAAACAGAGAGGTCAATTTGGGATCACCTATTTTTCTCTCTTCCAATTATTTTGGCACAGCTAGATGAAAAAAAAAATTGGAGAATGAAAGGATCAAGGATGTTTAAACATAGCAACGTATGGCAACCCTGTAACATTTTAACAGATACCAGTAGGATAAAATTCAGAAGGCAGGAACTCTGTATAATGTTTTATTTGAATGCAAGAGCTAATTAAACAGATGAAATTATGTGCATGATTTAGGTTTATTATTGTTTCTATGTACTTTACTTGTACAGAGAGTGTGTCAGATATAAATTATGATATTAAATAAAGACTGGCACTAGCACTGGCTTTCTTTACTCGAGGAGCCAAATTAAAGTTTATACTGTTTTCTCCCAAAGCCAAGAAAAATGTAGGTTGTGCCAAAAATTTCCTTCATGAATTCAGTATGTTGGGCCTGAACTGGGCTAATGGAGGCTGAGAATCTCCCAGAGGCATTGTTCTCAAACCTGCAGAACAATT